GCTTCCACAGAGCATCGCTTACTCTACAGGCTGTTTTATTTTCGCGCGGAAGTTTAGACTTGGAAAGCCTCAGAAGCAGCTGCGCCGTTGCTGGGCAACCAGCGCCCCAGCCGCCATTTCATCCGCCCACGTGCCCTTCCGGGCGGCCGCCATTTTACTATAGGCATTCCACGTGGGAAGTAACTTTACAAACCCTCCCTTTTAAGCTTAACCGGCGAGAAAACCAGGGGAATAATTAACGTTCATAAGGGGTACGTGGGGAATGCCTGCAGGTTTTGCTCTTGAGGCTGCGGAATTTTCAGTGTTAAAGGGCTAGCGTTAAGTGTTCATTGTCGCTAGGCAACGGGAACGCATTACGGCCGCCATTTTGATTGCCCACGTGGCCTTGCGGCGGCAGCCATTTTAGGAGAGGCAAAACCACGTGGGAGCTATCTCCTTTTCGAGTGCCCCTCACTTTCTCGTTGGTTTTAAATTCAAAAGCAATATAAACAAAGGAAATAAACATAAGCAATATAAACAAAGGATGATGGCGCAATTAAAAGAGCCTAGCTTAAATAAGAGCGCACAAGGGGCTGCAGGGAGCCCCTCCTCTTGGTGCATAAGCTTGTATAGAGCGGGCTACAGCGTCTCTGGCTAGGCTGATCTTAGAATTGATATCCTCTAATTAATTTGACTGCTTTTGTTTATACTTACACTCTTGAGAATTTCATTCTGGGAATTTACTGAAACGCATTAAAATTAAATTGAAGCATTAGTGCACAGTATATTGGAATTCAAATTATTTCATTCAGCTTGCGGTGCTCTGAGGAGCTGTGTCATTTACTCTCTGCCTAGGGATTAAGTTTTATAATTTGGTATAGTCAATTCATAGTTATAAGGAAAAAGAGATCCGGGTTTTATATCTTTGCATACAGGTTTATAGGGAATCTAAAGTAAATAGCTCATGCCTCTTCTACGTTCATCTCTTTCTGGTATTTCATCTGTTAGTTTATAAGTGTCAGGGCTGCCTCAAGTCTCAGCTCACAAAAGACCAACGCCTATCTCTTCTTATATACAAAAGTGTTTATTGCAGTTCATTGTTTGCTTGACATCCTAGGCGCGCAGCCCTACGTCTGCTACGCTTAGACCGCTGAAGTCCCCTCTGAATCCGTCCCTCCCCTGCACCAATTTAAGAGGCTTGCGCTGCTCCACCTCTTTCTCTCTTTCCTTTTCCGCAGGGTCCTTCTGCCCGCTGGGGTTTCGCCCCTCCTGGATTCCTCTGACGCGGAATCAGACTGCTCTTGCCCCCTCCTGCGGGCTTTGGGACCTGGCCCCTCCTCCGGGCTCCCTGTACTTCCGCGCGCCTCTACATTTGAACTTGGCGCGCGCGCCCAGCCTCTAACCTTCCTTTCAACAGCTACACTACTCCCTTCACTGCTTCCCTCCCCTTCCGGGAGGATGGCTTGCTCCGACCTCCCTCCTTTCTCTACTGCCGGAGCCGCTTCCCCTGACACACTGAAACCTCCACCCCCTTCGCTGCACTCTGGCGGGGAGGCTGGTCCTGACACCCAGCTGCCACTTTGGGATGCCCAGCTGGCCCCCTGCTCCTGACACGTCCCCCCTGGGGCTCCCCTGGGCTTGACCACCGGCGCCCCCTTCTGGGAATCCTCTGATTCGCTGGAAAGACTCATGGAATCTCTTGAGTCATTGTCATCCTCTTCCTCGCTGTCCTGGGATTCATCCCCATCGCTCTCCATCTCCTGCCTACCCTGTGCCTCTGTCCCAGAACCCCTGACATCCATCCCCCCCTCGAAGCCCCCCCCTCCCGCTGCTCGGGCGCAGGTTCCGGGAGCTTCGTTGTAGCGGGGGTAGATGCTGGATACAGTTCGTCGACGTCGATCTCGTCTGCTTCCAGTTCAGTGTAGGAGTGCTCGAAACCGGGGTCCTCCCTAACACATCCAAACCCCTCCCTCCGCCTGTTACTTCAGGCGAAGCTGCTTGCCAAGGCCCCCTCCGCCACCCCACTTCTGGTTGATCGTCCCACCAATAAGAGCGGTCCGTGTCCACCCCCGAGCACGATCCCCTTGGAGGGCTCGATTCCGGCGTGGTCTCCTCTGCGGAGGAGAACCCCCGGAAGGTGCTGCCTGAAAGTGTGGGGGTAAAAGCCAGTCGTCAAAATACTCCGCTGGCATGGGCCTGTGTGGGAAGAGTGCATGGAACTCGTCTTTAAGAAAAGGTTCCTCCAGAGCATAATCTGGCACCCAACTGTTGGCGCTGGCCGGGGTACCTTCCTGGCGAGGAGGTATTCCACTCCCTCCCCCCATCTCGAGTCCAGAATTTCCGTGACCTCGTTGAGTGTCGGGGTCCTCGGTGACTTCCCCCCCCCTGGTGACTTTCTACGTGGGTCTGGTGCCGTCCCTGGCTCCTGAAATCTGTGTGGGGCCTTGTAGGGTGTGAGCACCGACCTATGAAAGACCGGGTGCATTCGGGAATCCTCTGGGAGGGTCAACCGAAAGCTACGGGATTGATCCTGCCCTCAACTTGGTATGGCCCTAGCTGTTTGTGTCCTAGCTTCTTCTTAGCTAACGACTTGGCCGGCACCGCCTGGGCTGCTAACCATACCCAGTCCCCCACCTGGATGTCTTCTCCTGCCCTCCTGTGCCTGTCTGCCTGCACTTTGTAGGCGTGTTTAGCTAGTTCCAAGTGCCGTCGTAGCTCCTCGTGGACCTCCTGCAATTCTGCTGCTAAATGCTCTGCTCCCTGCGACTCCCCCCTGCGTCGTTGTCTCCAACGCCGGGAAGGTTCTGGGATGTCGCCCATTGTTGGCGAAGAACGGTGTCACCCCCGTTGACGCGTGCTTCGTGTTGTTGTAGGCAAACTCGGCCATCGGTAAGTAGTCCACCCAAGTTGCAGGCTTTTGATTGGCGTAACATCGCAGGTACTGCTGCATGATGGCGTTGACCCTCTCCGCTTGGCCGTTGGTTTGCGGGTGTCTCGCCGACGCTAAGTTGATCTTGACATTCAGGATGCCCAGGAGCTTCTGCCAGAAACTGGAAATGAATTGGCGACCCCGGTCGGACAGGATGGACCGCGGTAAGCCGTGCACCCGGAACACGTGGTCTATGAACAGCTTGGCGGTCTGTTCCGCTGTTGCCACCTTCGCGCAAGGAATGAAGTGCGCCATCTTGGTGAACAGATCTACAACCACAAGCACCGCCGTCTTGCCCCGCGAACTGGGCAGATCAGTAACAAAGTCCAGCGCCACCCTTTCCCACGGCTGCAGTGGCGTCTCCAGCGGTTCCAGCAATCCCGCTGGCTTCTTGTGCACTGGCTTGGACCTCTGACAAGTGTCACACCTGGCGACGTAATCCGCGACCTCTCCCCGCATCTGGGGCCACCAAAAGTCTCTGGCTACTAAGTCCGCCGTCTTTTCTTTGCCGAAGTGACCCGCGCTGGGGGCGTCGTGTAACTGCTGTAAAACCTTCGCGCGGAGATCGTCTCCCGGCACGTAGAGAGCACCTTTGCGGGTCAGCAGGCCGTCGCGTATCTGGAATTCGCCGTCCTTTGCTGTCCCTCTTCGCACCTCCTCCATCTTGGATTGTGCGAACGGATCCGTCTGTAGCGCGCGTCGTACCGCGTCCAGGTCCACGGCGGCGGAAGCGCACGCCCACGCTTGCGGTGCGAAAATGTGCCTGGCTGCCACTGGTGCCGCTTCCTCGAGATACTGCGGTTTCCTGGAGAGCGCATCCGCTATGACGTTGTTGTCTCCCGGGATATACTCTATCCGGAAATCGAAATCCGCAAAGAACTCCGCCCATCTCATGTGCCTCTGGCTCTGGAGCTTCGCCGTGCGCCAATACTCTAGGTTCTTGTGGTCCGTGCGGACCTGCACGGTGTGCTTGGCTCCGATGAGGAAATGCCGCCACGCCTTGAAAGCCGCGTGGATGGCCAGCAACTCCCTGTCCCAGATGGTGTAGTTCTGTTCCGACTTGCTGAGCTTCCGGGAATAGAAAGCGCAGGGCCTCCAGTTCCCTTGCGGATCTTCCTGCAAGAGGACGGCCCCCACTGCTCTGTCAGATGCGTCAGTCTCAACCCGCATGGGCCTGCCGGGATTCACGTGTAGCAGCTGGTCTTCGGACGCGAAGAGACTCTTAAGTCTCCTGAAGGACTGCTCCGCCTGGTCCGTCCAGGTGAACTTCTTCTTCTTGGAACTGAGGGTGTCCGTGATAGCTGCCGTCTCTTTCGCGAAACCCCTGATGAACTTGCGGTAAAAGTTGGCGAAGCCGACAGAACCTCTGGACCTCCTTCCGATTGCGCGGGCTATTCCAGTCCAACACCGCGCGGACTTTGGCGCTGTCCATGGCTAGTCCCTTGTCAGACAGCCGGTAGCCCAGGAAATCCACCTCCGTCACGTCGAACTGGCACTTCTCCAGCTTGGCGTAGAGTCTGTGCTCCCGTAGCCTCTGCAGGACCTCCTTTACGTCTCTCTCGTGAGTCTCCTGCGATTCTGAGAAGATCAGAATATCGTCGAGAAAGCATACGCACTTCTTGTAGAGGAGTCCTGCTAGCACGTGGTGCATGAATGCTTGGAAACAGTGGGAGCCATTTTGGAGACCAAACGGCATAACTCTGTATTCATAGGTGCCCAGCGGCGTGAACATGGCCGTCTTCCACTCGTCACCTTCCCTCATGCGTATTAGATTGTATGCTCCGCGTAGATCCAACTTGGTGAAGATCCTCCCCTTCCTCACCGTCGCGAGCAGGTCGTCAATCTTGGGCATGGGGAAAGCCTTGGGCTTTGTCATCGAGTTTATGGCCCTATAGTCCACAATGAGCCGTTTTTGGGGCGTGTCCTTCTTCTTCACGAAAAACACAGGACTGCCCCCCACTGCCTTGGATTCTCGGATGAATCCCCGCTTCAAATTGTGATCTATGAACTCCCTGAGTTCCTGCATCTCATCTTCAGACATGGAATACAGCTTCGCAGTCGGTAGCGTCGCCCCTGGTAAGAGGTCAATTGCACAGTCGTAGGGCCGGTGGGGTGGTAATTGGTCAGCTTCCTTCTCGCAGAAGACCTCCAAAAACCCCTTGTACTTGTGGGGCACCGCCTGCACCATGCCTAGATGCAACTGTTGCCCTTCCTCCTGGCCCTCCTCCTCCTGGCCGATCTGGATGCAATGTTGTGCGCAGTAGGACGAGCCAAAGGTGAGCTGCCGCTGGTACCACGCCAATGATGGGCTGTGTCTGTCCAGCCAACTCATGCCTAACACTATGGGCGTGTCTGACAGTTGGGTGACATTGAAACTGATGACCTCGCGATGATTCCCAATTTTCAGCAGCATGGGTGGCGTCTGTTGTACCACTTGCCCACCCAGCAACTTCCTGCCATCTACGGTGACCACGTTCAGAGGCAGCGTGGCTGGTAGTAGCGCTATGCGATGCTGCTTGATGAACTGCATCCCCACGAAGTCTGCGTTGCTCCCTGAGTCAATCGTAATGGGGACTTCCAGGGTGAGTCCATTAGGCAGCTGGAGAGTAGCAGTGAGCTGCACCACTGGCTTGGGTGGTAAGGGGTCTGTAGGCTGCAAAAGCGCTGGGGACTGCTTCACTGACTTGCCTGGCGGAGCCCCAGCATCTCTGCTTCCAGCCAGGCATTCTCGTTTCCCTGAAACTGTTCCCCTTGGAACGCTTCCCCTGTTACTGTTGCTAAGGCTGCAGTGTGCTTCTGGAGCCTCTGGGGACACTCTTTAGCCATGTGCCGTGCACTGTCACAGATGTAACACTTCCTGGTCCCTCTAGGAGGCTTCGCCTTGACTGCTCCGGACGCTGAGGCTCCGGCAGCTGTCTGAGCCTTTGCACCACCCAGCTCCATTGGTTCTTCCCCCCCTTTCAGCATAGGCGAGGGGTTTGTACGTCCCAGGTCCCTGGGAGGAAAAGGAGGCGCTCTAGCTGGTGGGCGGACGTGACGCCCCTCCTCACTGTGCCAAGGGCGTTCTTCGTGGCGCACCCCTATCGTGAGTGCCCTCTGCACGACGTCTGCTAGGGTTTGAGGTCTGTCTCCCTAGCCAGCTCATCTTTTACTGAGCCATGAAGCCCCTCCCAGAACAAGTCCCTCACTGCCAGGGAGTCCTTTTCCCAGCCCAGCACATTCAGCAATGCACAAAAGCGAGAATGGTACTGACGCACTGTAGCCTTGCCCTGCCGCAATCCATGCATCTCCTGGCGCGCCACATCAACGTCAACGGTAGATTGGAAGCAAGCGTCCATGGCTTTGATAAATTCGTCAGAGTCCCTGCGTGCAAGACCATCTTCGCGCCACAAATTGCGTAACCAGGTTCTAGCTTCCCCATGCAAATGGGACACAATAAAGCCTACTTTCTCCTCCTCATCTTTGAAGTCGTTTCGAAGCAAATGCAGCGCGTATACGACGTCTGCTCTGAAATTGGGATAATGCTTCAGGTTCCCATCGAAGTGGGCTACTAAATTGCCCCCCCTCCGTCCGAGTCCGATTCCCTCTGATCTGGACCCCGGGAACCCCTCTTTGCACGCCCGATCCCACCTGGCTTGCAGATCCTGGCATCGCGCTTCTGCGTCGGCAACCGTCTTCTGAGAGACCCGTACTGCAACGGAGAGTTCAGTGACTGCGTTTTGCAGGGTCGTTATCTGCTCCTCAGTAGTCATCTCTGCCAAACTTCGTGAGCTTTGCAAAAAAAATTTTTGCGGTTTTTGAGAGGGGACTTACTGTCAGGGCTGCCTCAAGTCTCAGCTCACAAAAGACCAACGCCTATGTCTTCTTATATACAAAAGTGTTTATTGCAGTTCATTGTTTGCTTGACATCCTAGGCGCGCAGCCCTACGTCTGCTACGCTTAGACCGCTGAAGTCCCCTCTGAATCCGTCCCTCCCCTGCACCAATTTAAGAGGCTTGCGCTGCTCCACCTCTTTCTCTCTTTCCTTTTCCGCAGGGTCCTTCTGCCCGCTGGGGTTTCGCCCCTCCTGGATTCCTCTGACGCGGAATCAGACTGCTCTTGCCCCCTCCTGCGGGCTTTGGGACCTGGCCCCTCCTCCGGGCTCCCTGTACTTCCGCGCGCCTCTACATTTGAACTTGGCGCGCGCGCCCAGCCTCTAACCTTCCTTTCAACAGCTACACTACTCCCTTCACTGCTCCCCTCCCCTTCCGGGAGGATGGCTTGCTCCGACCTCCCTCCTTTCTCTACTGCCGGAGCCGCTTCCCCTGACACACTGAAACCTCCACCCCCTTCGCTGCACTCTGGCGGGGGGCTGGTCCTGACACCCAGCTGCCACTTTGGGATGCCCAGCTGGCCCCCTGCTCCTGACACGTCCCCCCTGGGGCTCCCCTGGGCTTGACCACCGGCGCCCCCTTCTGGGAATCCTCTGATTCGCTGGAAAGACTCATGGAATCTCTTGAGTCATTGTCATCCTCTTCCTCGCTGTCCTGGGATTCATCCCCATCGCTCTCCATCTCCTGCCTACCCTGTGCCTCTGTCCCAGAACCCCTGACAATAAGTATATATTTAATCTGGCAATTTAATTCATTTGGTTGATTTTGATAATAGTGCTTAAGGGCTCTTTGGAGCTTTGCTTTGCTTATAGGTTTGTTGCATAAGTCAATTTATCATTTTTCACTGCTGTATTGCTGGGTTACAATTTATAATTCTACCTCTAGCTTGCTGCATAGCTGCTTACATTATCAAAGGTTCTCTTCTGTTTATTATAGACTCAGTATTCCTCTGAATACATTGCTTTGAGGTGTGGGCTGGTATTTTGGACAGCTATCCAGTGCAGATAATACTGAGCTACGGTGATATTGTTTGCAGCTAAATACAATTTGTTAGAGATTAGTTAGGCATCTTTGGGTCCTTTAAACTTACCAGTGCAGACAATACTGAACTACAGTGATATTGCTCGCAGCTCACGCATATAATCCAAGCTAGTTGGTGTTGATTTTACAGAACCAGGCTAATTAAGGGTATCAAACTATGTCTGCTCAAGAGAACCAGCAAAATGCTGCTATAACTGGGGTGGCACGAGGGAACCAGGTGGGGTCCCAGGCCTTCGTAGTGCCTAGTAACCCATAGGCTTTGGCACAGTTGTTGAATGCTTTTTAGACATTTTATAGGCAATATAGGCCTGCAGACCAGGTGGCAGCGGTACCTCTGGCGCTCACCCTAGAATGCATCCCGGATACGCCACCTAACGTTGTGGACCGCCCCGGCACCTCCGTGGCCACCGCGGCAGTGCTGAGAGCAGCCAATGATTCAACAGTGGGTCCGTGTCCGAGATGGGTCAGGGTAGCCTCCTGTGCCCTGCAACCCACAGGCCTAGTCAGTGTTTCCTCTGCTTTTGAAACCTTTACCAACAATTCAGGCCCATGGTCACTGCGGCCTCTTCCCAAATAGTGAGTACTGCCGTCCAGCAATGAGGAGCTCCCTTGCACTTTTGCCTCCTTATTTAGGGTTCCACATTCGGTTAGCAATCCATTTATGCATCCTCACACATAATTACAGTCTATGTGTCCCTGGGTTTCCAATGACAGATCCTCGGGAGGTAGGGCTCATGCTTACAATTTTAACCTTTCTGCCCCTCAGTATACCCCAGACTTTCCCAGTATGCTACAGCATTCACAACCTCAGCCTTTACCGCGGAAGGGGGCTCCGAAACATCATCGGAGGAAGAGACGCAGGGGCAACAGGAAGTGGCAGCGGCTGCAGAACAGCTCCAGTCTCCAACAATGGGCAAGGGAGAAAGAAGTCTAAGTAAGAAGAAGCATTCGGCCAAGAAGAGCAAAAGAAGTAAGCCTTCTAATGCCGAGGACGATTCAGAAAAGCTTCCTGCTGCCCACCACCTGCTGGGTTCCGAGCGACCAGAATTACTGGATGGAGCATATGGGTCCCTATGTGGAAAAGGAAAGTTAGAAAATTTGAGGCTAAGCGAGTCCCTCACCATGAGGTTTGCTGGGAGTACAACACGGGTGTGTGCCAGGGGCCAAATTGTAAGTATGCGCATGAATGTGAGAAGTGCCTTCATGTTTTAAAGGTAAACAGCCCTTTCCGGGCAGCGGGGAATTTCCACCAGGGGTCTTGAAAAGCTCACAGACCCGCCAAAAAGAACAGCCACTAATTGGTATGAATTTGGCCCTTGACTGTGATGTTCTCTTCTGTTAAGCTCTCACCTCTTAGAACCTTTCTTGATAAATACTCTAAAATAGAGGCAGCAAAGTACCCTGGGAAAGAGTTTCTCTTATGGCTTCAAGATCCTCGTTTCATTACCCCCTAACTCAGGGAACCACCCCCCAAACCAAAGAATCAGTTTGGGAAATCCCAGCTATTGCAAAAAGAAATTAAAGAAATTTCTGGCCGGGAGGGTGGCCGGCCCCTTCAGGGAGCCACCTATAGCGGGTTTACTCATTTCACCTTTAGGCATTGTCCCCCCATAGACTCCAGGAGAGTATCCTATGATCCACAACCTACCCTACCCTAGAGGCGGCTCAGTCAATGATGCAATACCACAGAAGCCTTGTTCTGTGAAGTATGCCTCCTTGATCAGGCTATAAAGCGTATGCGCAGGTTCAGCAGGGGCGCTAAGTGCGACATTGAGTCGACTTTCCGTCTCCTGCCAATTCACCCTGAGGAATTTCTATGGCTAGGTTTTAGATTTGAGGGGGTTTATTCCATAGACAAATCTATGCCGATAGGGTGCTCAGTAGCTCGTGCAGCCTTTGAGTCATTTAGTGCAATTTTGGACTGGGCTCTTCGCTTTAGAACTGGTTCTGAAGGGGTGACCCATTACCTCGATAACTCTTCCCCCCCCCATCATTAGTAATAACCCTGATTGCGCTTCTCCTGTAGAGGCTTTCACCTCCCTGGCTGAGGAGCTTGGGGTACCTTTTGGTGGCGGACAAAATAGAGGGTCCAGTTTTGACCATAACCTATTTTGGGTATTGAATTGGACACAATTGCACAAACATCCCGCCTACCAAGGGAGAGGCTAGCATTAATTCTGCAACTTCTTCCCCTCAAGAAGATCACCCTTGGCCAGAGTCAATTCACGCTTCGGTCACCTCAACTTTGCATGCTGGGTAGTGTCCCCTGGCCGCCCCTTTTGTGGGCGATTGGCTAAGCTGTCAGCGGGACTGCGTGCTCCGCAAAACTGAGTGCGCCTCTCTAAAGTGGTCAAGTCAGACCTGAAGGTTGGGTTGAAGTTCCTGGAAAAGTACAATGGCATTTGCGTGCTGGCGAGTTCAGGAATCACTAGGTATGCTTCTGGACTGACAATCAAACGGTTGTCAGTGTCCTGTCAAAGCAATTATCACACTCTCCTAGAGTGGCAGATCTGCCACTTTGTCCTTTTGTGCTTAGAATTAAACATCTATTTCTCTACCAAATTTACCCCTAGGGTTAACAATGACATCACAGATGCTCAGGCGCAGCAAAGTGCCACAGCCATTCCGGGAGCACCTTTGGAGCCTTGGGAATGTGATGTCCTGAAGGGAGTATTAGCTTCAGGAGCCCCGTCCACGCTTAGATCTTTTAAAAAGGCTTGGTTGGACTTTATGGAGTTCCAAGGCAAATTTATAATAAATAAAAAATAATAATAAATAATGAATGAATGAATGAATGAATGAATGAATAAATGCTAGGCTTGAAGCTCTGCAATACTTGGTACATTGGAGGGTGCTGGGTCGTGCAGCAAAGACTCTTAAACATCCAGTAGGCGGCTGTCAGGGGTTCAGGAGCAGAGGCAAGGGCAAGGGAGGAAACAGAGAGCGAGGGGGAGGAGGCAGAAGAAAAGATGAGTGATGACGACGACCCGAGATCTCCGAGTCTTTCCAGTGAATCAGAAGATTCACAGAAAGGAGCACCAGTGGCCAGGGCAAGGGGGGAGCCTAGGGGGACGCCCCAGGAAGATAGAGCCAGAGGGGACTCAGAGGGGAGCAGTTGGAAATCGGGACCAGCGTCACCGCCAGAGAGCAGGGAAGAGGAAGGGAGCCAGGGATCAAGCGCTGGCAGCTCACAACAGGGGGGAGGGCACGAGTCAGGAGTGGCCACACCTCCATCGGGGAGCGAAGAAACGGTCAGACGGAAGGTGGAAGGTTGGGCGCGCGCGCCAAGTTCAAATGCACAGGAAGGTGGCACAGTAGGCAGCCCGGAAAGGGAGCCAGGTCCTAAAGCCCGCCGAAAGGAGGGAGAAGAGTCAGGGGGGTCAGCGTCAGAGGAATCCCGGAAAGAAGAGACCCCAGGGGGCAGAGGGACCCAGAGAAGAACAGTCAGGCGGAAAAGGTGGAGCAGGGCTAGGATATTAAGTTGGTGTACAAGGGGCGGAGACTCAGACGGAGCTTCGCCGGTCTAACCATGAGACGTAGAGTTGCACGCAGCAGTTTGAGAATGGAAACTGTAACTCAATAAAGACTTTTGTTTAATGATCGCTGGCTAGCGTGATCCTCTGTGAGCTAGGATCTGGAAGCAGCTCTGACAGTAAGCTCCGTCTCAATAAATTGTGGGCATCTACAGCCTCGCGGAGAGGAGAGAAAGCGGGTGCCTACTAGCGAGCTCACGAAAGGCAGACAATATGACGGCCGAACAGCAGATAGCGGAACTCAGAGAAGCAGTGTCACGACTGAATGCCGAGGCTCTTGCATCCAGGAAGAGAGAGGAGGACGCAGCTGCCGCCTACAGGGATCTCCAGGTCAGGTTGGAAGTGCTTACGAAGCAAGGGCAACTGACACCCAAACCGGAGGGGATTGGGTTGGGGAGACGAACAGGCGGTCTGGTCTCTCACTTCGATGGGAATTTGCAACAGTACCCCAACTTTAGAGCAGATGTAATGTGTGCACTGCAACTGCTGGACAAAGACTTTAGAGATGAGCAAGAGAAGGTGGGATTCATCATGTCCCATTTGCATGGAGATGCTAAAGCATGGCTGCGCAATTTGTGGAGAGATAAGGATCCGGCGCTCCAAAATGCGGATGCCTTTATTAAAGCGATGGATGGGTGCTTTTTATCAAGCATTGACGTGGATCTTGCTCGGCAGCAGATACATGGACTGAAGCAAGGGAGGGCCAGCGTAAGGCAGTACCATGCCCGCTTTTTCGCTTTGGTCAGTGCTCTGGAATGGGACAGAGATTCGGCTCCTGTAAGAGACCTGTTTTGGGAGGGATTGCACGGCTCGGTTAAAGATGAAATTGCGAGGGGGGAGAGACCCCGGACCACGCAGGAGATCGTTCAGAGGGCGCTGGCGGTGGGGGTGCGGCTGGAAGAACGTCCGTGGAGCAGGGACGAAGGGCGTGGAGGGCGCGAACCAGCCAGGGGCTCCTCCTTCCTTCCCAGAGAAGCAGCGCGTGCGCAATCCACGCCTCCGCCAGGAGGAGGAGCGGAACCTATGGAGGTTGGAGGTGCAAGGGCTCAGTCAGCAGCCAGAGCCCTAGCACCGGCAGCAGTGAAAGCGAAGCCTCCTAGAGGGAACAGGAAGTGTTACATCTGCGATGCTCCACAGCATATGGCGAAAGAGTGTCCCCAGAGGCTCCACAAGCACACTGCAGCTTCAGCAATGGTAACTGCAGCAACGCAGCAAGGAGAACCACAGCAGGGAAACGACGGAGTCTGGTTGGAGGAAGAGGCACTGGGGCCCAGCCAGACGTGTCAGTGAAGCAGTCCCCAGAGATTTTACAGCCCATGGACCCCCTCCCGCCCAAACCAGTAGTGAGGCTCACCGCGTCGCTCCAGCTGCCCAATGGAATCACCATGGACGTGCCAATCACCATTGACTCCGGAAGCAATGCGGACTTTATAGGGCAGGACTTTGTCGACCGGCACGCTATACAGTTGCTGCCTGCCACGCTGCCCCTGCAGGTTGTCACGGTGGATGGCAGGGAGCTGCTAGGGGGGCAAGTGGTGAAGCAGACGCCACCAATGGTGATGCGGCTTGGGAATCACAGGGAAATCATCAGCTTCAATGTCACTCAACTATCGGACACGCCCATTGTATTGGGCATGAGTTGGCTGGACAAGCACAGCCCGACGCTGGCTTGGTACCAGAGGCAGCTGACCTTCGGCTCTTCCTTTTGCGCTGAACACTGCATCGTGCCCCGGCAGGAAGGAGAGGAAGAGGAGTCACAGCTGCAGCTAGGCACGCTGCAAGCGGTTCCCCACAAGTACGCAGAATTTTTGGAGGTTTTCTGCGAGAAGGAGGCAGACAGGCTACCCCCCCACAGACCATATGACTGCAAAATTGACCTGCTGCCGGGGGCGGCGCTGCCCAAAGGGAAGCTGTATTCCATGTCTGAGGACGAACTGCAGGAACTCAAAGAGTTCATAGATCATAATTTGGAGCGCGGTTTCATCCGAGAGTCCAAGGCAGCGGGGGGCAGTCCGGTATTCTTTGTTAAGAAGCGGGACACGCCCCAGAAAAGACTTGTAGTGGACTATCGCATTTTGAACAGCGTGACCAAGCCATCGGACTTCCCCATGCCCCGAATCGACGACCTCCTCGCAAAGGTACGGAAGGGCAGCGTGTTCACTAAGTTGGACCTGCGAGGGGCGTACAACCTCATTCGCATGCGGGAAGGAGATGAGTGGAAGACAGCCATGTTCACGCCCCTGGGCACCTACGAATATAGAGTTATGCCTTTTGGATTGCAAAATGGTTCCCACGTTTTTCAAGCGTTCATGCATCACGTGTTGGCGGGGCTCCTCTACAAGACGTGCGTCTGTTTCTTGGATGACATCCTGATCTTTTCGGAATCGCAGCAGGAGCATGACAGACACGTCAAGGAAGTGCTGAGCAGGCTACAGCAACATAGGCTTTACGCCAAGCTGGAGAAGTGCCAATTCGACGTGACGGAGGTGGATTTCCTGGGCTACAAGTTGTCTGATAAAGGGCTCGCCATGGACAGCGCCAAGGTCCGAGCAGTGTTGGATTGGAAAAGCCCACGCAACCGGAAGGAGGTCCAACGGTTTGTCGGCTTTGCGAACTTCTATCGCAAGTTTATCAAAGGCTTTGCCATGCAGACAGCGGCCATCACGGACACGCTCAGCTCCAAGAAAAAGAAGTTCATCTGGACAGAGCAGGCGGAGCAGTCCTTTCAGGCACTCAAGCGTCTCTTCGCGTCGGAAGGGCAACTGCTTCATGTCAACCCCAGCAAGCCGATGAGGGTGGAGACAGACGCTTCGGACAGAGCCGTGGGAGCAGTCCTGCTGCAGAAGGACCCGCAGGGGGTTTGGAGGCCGGGAGCGTTTTACTCAAGGAAGCTCAGCAAGTCCGAACAGAACTACACCATCTGGGACAGGGAGTTGCTGGCCATTCATGCAGCGTTCAAAGCGTGGAGGCACTTCCTGATCGGCGCCAAGCACACGGTGCAGGTCTGCACGGACCACAAGAATCTAGAGCACTGGCGCACGGCACAGTTCCTGAACCAGAGGCAGATACGTTGGGCTGAGTTCTTTGCGAATTTCGACTTCCGAATAGAGTATGTCCCGGGGACACCAACATCATGGCGGATGCTCTCTCCCGTAAGCCGCAGTATCTGGAGGAGGCAACGCCAGCGGCCGCCATGCACATCTTCGCACCGACAGTGTGGGCGTGCACGGCGGCAACAGTTGACCTGGAGGCGGTGCGACGAGCGTTGCAGGATGACTCCTTCGCGCAAGCAAAGATGGCAGAGGCGCACAGGGGCACGGCAGCGACCGACGAGTTCCAGCTGCGAGATGGTTTGCTCATCCGTAAAGGGGCCATCTACGTGCCGGGAGACGAACTTCGCGCCAAGGTACTGCAGCAGCTGCACGACGCGCCCACTGCCGGGCACTTTGGCAAGGAGAAGACGGTGGAATTAGTAGCCAGAGACTTCTGGTGGCCAGGAATGAGAGGGGAAGTCGCGGACTACGTGGCGAGGTGTGACACCTGCCAGAGGGCCAAACCAGTGCACAGACCGCCGGCCGGATTGCTGGAACCGCTGCAAACTCCGTTCGAACCATGGGAGAGAGTGGCCCTGGACTTTGTCACGGATCTGCCCAGCTCGAGGGGCAAGACGGCTGTGCTGGTGGTGGTGGACTTGTTCTCCAAGATGGCACATTTCATTCCGTGTGCGAAGGTGGCCACGGCGGAACAAACCGCCAAACTGTTCATAGACCACGTGTTCAAGGTTCACGGTCTGCCGCGGTCTATTCTGTCCGACCGAGGGCGACAGTTCATCTCGAACTTCTGGCAGAGGCTGATGGGCTTCCTGAACGTCAAGATCAACCTGGCGTCGGCTAGACACCCGCAGACCAATGGGCAAGCGGAGCGGGTCAATGCCATCATGCAGCAGTACCTGAGATGTTATGCGAATCAACAGCCTGCGACGTGGGTGGATTACCTGCCTCTCGCCGAGTTCGCCTACAACAACACGAAGCACGTGTCCACGGGGGTCACGCCGTTCTTCGCCAACAACGGGAGGCACCCCAGAACCTTCCCGGGACTGGAAAGAATGGGGAGGGGAGCCGCAGACAGCAGATGCATTCGCGTCGGAGTTGCAGGAGGTCCACGATCAGCTGCGGCGGCACCTGGAGCTGGCTAAACACGCATACAAGGTACAAGCGGACAAACACAGAAGGGTTGGCGAAGAGATCCATGTGGGAGACTGGGTCTGGTTAGCAGCCCACGCAGTGCCGGCCAGGTCGTTGGCGAAGAAGAAACTAGGGCATAAACAACTGGGGCCCTACCAAGTCGAAGAACAGGTCAACCCGGTGGCTTTCAGGCTGGCTCTTCCGGAGGGTTCCAGAATGCATCCGGTGTTCCACAGATCGGTGCTCACTCCATACAAGGCACCTCACAGGTTTCAGGAACCAGGAACGGCACCGGGTCCGCTCCGAGAGAGAACCGGGCAGGGGGGAGTGGCACGGGAGGAGCGCATCAACGAAGCCACGGAGATTTTGGACTCCAGATGGGGGGAAGAGGGGGTAGAATACCTTCTCGCCAAGGAGGGCACCCCGGCCAGTGCCAACAGCTGGGTGCCGGGCTACGCTTTAGACGAACCTCTGCTCAAAGAAGAGTTTCATGCCCTCTTCCCACATAGGCCAATGCCAGCAGACTTTTCGACGACTGGCTTTTCACGCCCACGCTTTCAGCCAGCACGTTCCGGGGTTCGACTCGGACGAGGAACCGACACGAGACGCCCGTTCCCCGGAGGGGTCACCCTCGGGATCTGCTTCAGAACCCTCGTATTGGTGGGATGATCGACCAGAGGAGCAGTTCCGCAGAAGGTGGCTGGAGGGTCCAGGACGAGCAACGTCTCCAGAAGGTAACGAGGGAGAGACGGACATGGACGTTTCGGGGACGACCCGGGTTTCGAGCACGGCGGCACAGAGATGGAAGCGGAGGTGACCGTCGTCAACGAGAGCAGGGAGGAAGAACCGGAAGACTTCAGATGGCGGCCCGCCACGGGAAGCGAACTGTATCCGACATTCGTCCCCTGACACGGCAGCACCCAGATCCCGCACCGGAAGGAGGGGAGGGGGAAGAGGGGGCTTCGAGGGGGATGGATGTCAGGGGTTCAGGAGCAGAGGCAAGGGCAAGGGAGGAAACAGAGAGCGAGGGGGAGGAGGCAGAAGAAAAGATGAGTGATGACGACGACCCGAGATCTCCGAGTCTTTCCAGTGACGCAGAAGATTCACAGAAAGGAGCACCAGTGGCCAGGGCAAGGGGGAGCCTAGGGGACGCCCCAGGAAGATAGAGCCAGAGGGGACTCAGAGGGGAGCAGTTGGAAATCGGGACCAGCGTCACCGCCAGAGAGCAGGGAAGAGGAAGGGAGCCAGGGATCAAGCGCTGGCAGCTCACAACAGGGGGGAGGGCACGAGTCAGGAGTGGCCACACCTCCATCGGGGAGCGAAGAAACGGTCAGACGGAAGGTGGAAGGTTGGGCGCGCGCGCAAAGTTCAAATGCACAGGAAGGTGGCACAGTAGGCAGCCCGGAAAGGGAGCCAGGTCCTAAAGCCCGCCGAAAGGAGGGAGAAGAGTCAGGGGGGTCAGCGTCAGCGTCAGAGGAATCCCGGAAAGAAGAGACCCCAGGGGGCAGAGGGACCCAGAGAAGAACAGTCAGGCGGAAAAGGTGGAGCAGGGCTAGGATATTAAGTTGGTGTACAAGGGGCGGAGACTCAGACGGAGCTTCGCCGGTCTAACCATGAGACGTAGAGTTGCACGCAGCAGTTTGAGAATGGAAACTGTAACTCAATAAAGACTTTTGTTTAATGATCGCTGGCTAGCGTGATCCTCTGTGAGCTAGGATCTGGAAGCAGCTCTGACAGCGGCAATCTCCCTTTTTCTGTAAGGTTGTTTAATCCATAGACCCTGGTGTGGACTTATTAGTGTGAAGGGCACTGTAGGGCTGCTGTTCAGGGAAGTTTTGTAATGTGTGATATTTTAGTGTATTTCTGGTTTCTATGGAAGCCGTCCAGAGTGGCTGGGGAAACACAGCCAGATGGGCGGGGTACAAATAATAAATTATTATTATTATTATTATTGTTGTAGGGCTGGTGCAGGCTGCAGCCTCCTAAAAGTGATGGTAGAAGGCCCTTATGACATTTATGCCAATTCCAAAATAAATAAATAATTAAGTAAAATTAAAATAATAATAATAATAAGATAAAATAAAATAAGAAGTATCTGTTGGTCCGAGGACAAGGCCCGATTATTTTCAGCTGCATACTCCATTGCCTTTGGCGCTATGCGCATTGGCGAAGTGGTTTGTAAGGGCCAACCAGAATCCACTGCCCGGGGTTAGTTTGAGAGACCTGACCTTGTTCAGATCCAATTTAGTCCTGCATGACCAATGTTCCAAAACCGATCAGCAGTAAAGGACACTAAACATTTCATGTACGTGAGACCAACCGTCTCAGGTCTATTCCTTATACATTTGGATGGCTCCCGCCTTGCACGGCATCAGTCCACGCGCATTATGCGAAGGGAGATTGCTGCCTGCAGTTTATCCTCAGCTGAATTCGCGGCTAACTCCTTTAGGATTGGGGCCGCCACCACAGCACTGCATTTGGGACTCTCAGCTGAAAGGATGAAGGACTTGGGGGCAGTGGAAGTCTGATGCATTTAAGGGATATATTCGTAAGACCTTGTGATTGTTCACAGTATACTTGACCTGGCTTCGTTACCTTCTTTTGCTTTCAGGTGACGTTGTGGTGCACATTTGGATTATAGGCCCTGCACTGTCCACTGGGATAGAAACCATGCCATTAACAGGGACCCTAGGGTGCAGGAGCTATGAGGGCGCGCATCTGGATAATCGGACACAGCATTGTGCATTGGGCCAGGGTCCGCGCCATCAATTCCGGTCTCGGGCCGCACCTTAACTACATCAATATATCTTGGATCTATCGGAGGGGAAGGCGCTGGGCCGAAATGTGGCCCGCAATTAGGGCCAGAGCGGCAGCGGAGGGCCCCCAGATGCTTCAGTTATCCAATTAGGCGAAAAGGATTTAGCTTACAGAAAGGCAGCCGACTTGATGTGGCATCTCTTTAGTGACTTTGAGGAACTGAAGGCCTCTTATCCAAACATCACCATTCTTTGGGCCTTGTTGATGGAAAGCAGGGTTTGGAGAGAGAGCAGGTGCCCGATAGCCATAAATAGGGCTAGGGAAAGCCTTGGATCGGGCGGTGGTGCGTAGAGTGGCAGCCCTGGGTGGGTGGGTCATTGACCACCCGGGCAACTGCGAGGCCCTCTACTGGCTTGATGGCGTGCATCTTTCGGATGCGGGAAATGATATTTGGCTTGATGGCTCGCATCTTTCAGATGCGGGAAATGACATGTGGCTTACTGATATAGCAAAGGGGGTAAGGGATTGGTTTCAGGCATGAGAGTATTGGCGGCGAGCGATTGCTCGTGTGGCGGTAGGCATTGGTAAGAAGGGGTTAAGAGGATGTGGGGGGGGGAGGAACGCCATCACCTCCCCCCAGTGAGCGAAGGGTGGTCCGTTCGGGGGGCGTGGCCCTGTCCGAAGCCTATGGAGGTGTGGGCCAAAGGCACACCCCCGAGCGGTGACCCGGGGGAGCTCCTAGTCGACGTGCCTCGGCGGGAGACTTCCCCGATATAGTGTTAACCGTTCCCCGTGTCTCCAGCAAATGGGCTGGAGCCGGATAGTCGTTAGGACCAATGCCTAAGCCAATGCCTCTCATTCCTGAATTCAATAAAGTTGTGGCCTAATTCACCCATTTAACCTTAAACCATGGTGTCTCGTGTCTTTATTTATCCTGGTGGGGGGCGGGAACTCGCCACGCAATCAAAGCTTATTTGCCTTCCTTCTACGCATATGGAAGCGAAAAGACAATGCTGTGTTATTTTGGTCTCATTACACACACATTGAGATTTCTGGGTCAACGTGCATTAACACCAAAGAACACGACTGTCAGGGGTTCAGGGACAGAGGCACAGGGTAGGGAGGAGATGGAGAGCGATGGGGATGAATCCCAGGACAGCGAGGAAGAGGATGACAATGACTCAAGAGATTCCATGAGTCTTTCCAGCGAATCAGAGGATTCCCAGAAGGGGCGCCGGTGGTCAAGGCCAGGAGCCCCAGGGGGACGTGTCAGGAACAGGGGGCCAGCGGGGGATCCCAAAGTGGCAGCTGGGCGTCAGGACCAGCCTCCCCGCCAGAGTGCAGCGAGGGGGTGGAGGTTCCAGTGTATCAGGGGAAGCAGCTCCGGCAGCAGAGAAGGGAGGGAGGTCGGAGCAAGCCATCCTCCCGGAAGGGGAGGGGAGTAGTGAAGGGAGTAGTGTAACTGTCAAAAGGAAAGTTAGAGGTTGGGCACGCGCGCCAAGTTCAAATGTAGAGGCGCGCGGAAGTACAGGGAGCCCGGAAGAAGAGCCAGGTCCTAAAGCCCGCAGGAGGGGGGAAGAGCAGTCGGGGGATAGCACCAGGGGAATCCAGGAGGGGCGAAACCCCAGGGGGCAGCAAGACCCTGCGGAAAAGGAAATAGAGAAAGAGGTGGAGCAGCGCAAGGCTCTTAAACTGGTGCAGGGGAGGGACTGACTCAGAGGGGACTTCAACGGTCTAAGCGTACAGACGTGAGGCTGCGCGCCTCGGATATGAAGCAAACAATGAACTGCAATAAACACTTTTGTATATAAGAAGAGATTGGCGTTGGTCTTTTGTGAGCTGAGACCTGAGGCAGCCTTGACAACGACGAATTAAGCGAAATCAAAGATTCTTCGTTCTATGTAGCTGGAACCCAAAAGAACCTATTTAGCTTTGTTTAGGCTTATTACACTTTGCTTTGCTATTTGTGGGGGACTGAACACCGAAAGAACAATGCAAGCTTATTCGTCCTCTTTCTATTGAGATGGAACCAAAACACCTATGCTTAGTTTGGGCTGATAATAAACATGTCACTGCAATTTTTGGGTGAATGTGCATTCTAACCCCAAAAACACCAATTTGAAATAATCCCAATCAGAGCTTTATCATCTTCTTTTTATGTAGATGGAACCCAAAAGACCTTTTTGCCTTGGTTGGGGGTGATTCTGGTGCACACCCATAAAACCCCATGCGAATTGAAATAAGCACAATCAAAGCTTATTTGTCTTCTTTCTACGCATATGGAAGCGAAAAGACAATGTTGTGTTATTTTGGTCTTGTAGCAGGAACCCCCCACCCCAATCATTCAGTTTGTACAAACTTCACACACTCACACACTACATATGCCACACTTCTGTTATAAATTCATAGAAAAATCAACGATACATCGGATTTGCACTGTTCCATTTTTATTTTACTCCATATGACAAGGACTATCAAAGGGGGGTGGCTTGGTTCTGGTCAGCCATAATCCCTTCACCATCCCAGCACATCCACAGGAGCCCTGCCCAGTTGCTATGCCAACCCTGATGGTCCTAGACAGAAGACCATCAAGATCACAAAGAACTTGCATATGGGAGTGGATTCAGCATGGACTGAAACAAAGGACAATGATCAGATCTTCCCTCTGGGGGCAGGAAACTGCCAACTCCCTTTGTCTCCTGGAAGTGACTCATGGGCAGGGGAAAGGAGGAACCAGCCAGGTGACAGGACACTCAGGTTACCACCACAACTCCTCCCTCAACCCCTCCTTTCTGTAATGTATGCATGATGTCAACAGTTCAATAAAGGCCAAGCCTACAGGCTGCTGTTTTGCTCCAAGTTATCCTGGTTGGTGTCTTTGTTTTTGTCCAAGGGAGCCCTCGGATTTTTCC